TTACCGTCAAAGAAACCGGATAAGAGTTTAGATCCCAGCTCAGCTGGCCACGGCCAAGGCGAGCTTCGAAGAAAAAGGCTGGAGTCGGACGGGCTGGGATGTTTCAACTGTTACACGGTTTGGGGTTTAGAGTCAGGAGTCAAGAGTACTATCCTCTAATCAGTCCCCACAACAGAATTCTTACAAAGCGGTTCAAACAAGTTTTATAGACGGCTGAGCCTTCAGACCGTCTGAAACTGATGGAGACAGTCCCCGTTTTGAGGTGAAGTTTGGGGTACCCCGAGCTGTGCATTGGAAATGCCCGAGCTGTTGGGGGAAGCCGTAGGTGCTTTGTTGGAGGGGGGGTGGTTGGGGGTCTTGGTTTTTTTCAAGGTCGTGGGGGTCTAGTGAGTTTAGGGTTTCAGGGTTGTAATTGGGGATTTGGACTAAGGGACGTGGGGGTTCAGGTAACGATTTAGCGATGCATGTAGGAGTTTGGCGCAGGCAGACGCCCGCAAACTTGCCTGTCAGATCTTGAGAGTTTCAACTGTGTACTAGGCTTACCCGCCCTTAGTCTGGGTTGCTGTTAAGGAACTCAAATTAAGAGTTACTACAGTAAGGAAGCCCTGTTATTTACTATACGCCCATACTATGGTATTTTTTTTACTTAGAATTCCTTAAGAGCAACCGCCCTTAGTCTGCAAGCCCCTTGAGCCTAAACCCAAAATCCATGGCAGAAGCTTCCGATGGCCTTGATGTGCTGACCATGCTTTCGGCTTGTTAAAGTACGATACCCTCACTAAATGGAGGGACCAATGTGGACCCAAAATCCTATAATCCTTGTTGTTATAGTCCTTGTTATGCGGACCTCCGAAAGGTACCCCTAATTTCGGGAAACCCCTGTAGTCCGCATAGTTTGTACCAGGGCGACCGAAGCAATCCACCTGTGAGCAGGCAGATGCGAAGTCCAGATGTCCCACACAGGTTGCAAGGTTGCAGTGATCTGATTTCTACTGTGGGGTTTCTACGCTTGGGGCCTTCATCCCTGCGTCCGTGTGAAATGTAGGCAGGTTTTGCCTGGCTATCAGACTCGTCACTGGAAGGCACACAACCGCCTCATGCAGGGCCCGATCACTCGTCCCCCACTAATCCCAGACGCGTTAAATGAAGGTTTCCCTTTATCTCCACATTGTGGGTGAGGTCAGATCAGATGAAAACTTCATGTAGATATTCCCCCTGTAAATCGCCGTAGAAGATGAAGTCTTTCAGTACAAGGACCCATCCAAAGGTGGACTCCCTTAACCCCATGCATCTTTTTTCAAAGCTTGGTAGCATTTCTCTGAGTGGCTGAGCCTTTTGGCGGAACGAGGAGAAGCTGGCCTAGACTTTATTCTTAACTCTCAATTCCCAGGCCCTAACCCAAATCCTACATGACAGAACCCTAAATCCGTCCCCTAAATCCCTCAACGCCCAAGCCTTAGAAGCCCTAGACCCTTTATCTAACCGAGGATTATATCATGGAGGTGGAAGCAGGAGCGGACTTTGTTGCATGGACAGACCGACCCACCAGCAGCCTCGCTAATAGACTGATTCATAGATTGATTGACTGCTTTATTGAAAAATGGATAGGTTGGTAGGCCCTTCCTTTCCAGAGCGCTTGACGGATAGACTGAGAAACTGAGACCGACTAACAGGCGGACAGACAGACTTCAGAGAACGTTAGACAGAATGAGACACCGACAAAAGATAGACGGTCAGACATACTGACAGATCGACTGTCAGACTCATGAACTGACAGACCGTGAGACTGACAGACCGACAGACCATCAGAACGACGGACCGAAACATGCAGAGATTGACAGACGACGTGCGCCCTGACTGATTGACCGTCATCCCGATTCCCCGATAGACCGATAGACTGCGAGTTGGACTGGCAGAACTAGGCAGGTTTGTGGTGCTGGCTGCTGCGGCTGCCCTGGACCTTGTATTGCGGAAATTAATTTTGTTCTCTGACGTCCCGGAAGACGATTGCAGCGCGGCCAAATGTTCGTCAGAGAGGTAGACCGGTGGGGAAACTCAAAATCTTCGAGAATTTAAGTCGGCCATGCCCGTCCACGGAGATTTAAGAGCTCCAAAAAAGTGGGCAACCCGACCTAAGCCAACGACCGAGCCACCGCATTGACAGTCAGAGAGAGATAACGAGGCGGAGGGAAAGGAAGGAGGGGGGCGCGCGACCAGACATTTCGGAAATTTTTGCTCGCACCCCCCTCCGGACCCAAAACTCGAAGGTTTTCGGGCCTCTAGCTTTGCTTTTCCGAAGGGGCCTAAAATCTCCAGAATTTTCAGAGCCCCTAGGGAGCCCGCAGAAGGCGTTTTAATGGAGAGCAGGAAAAGCTAGGCCTGTGCGAGCAACATGGCCGCAAGCGGCCGCGCCGTTTTAGTGAGGTATATTCCCAATATCGTCTGAAGCCCAAAAGTCAATGGAGAGCAAAGAGAATTCTTTTGGTTTCATACTAGGTATTCAAGCCTAAAGGACAAATTGATCAAATTTTGTTTTTATTCGAGAATGTACTGGAATATATTCGGTCCTGGATAATCTTGAGGTCGAATATTCGATTCATACAATTTTTCAATATAGCAATAAATCAAAACAATGATCCAACAAAAATTGAAGGACAGTAGCTCCACATGTGTGGTTTAACCTGAACCT